ACATTCAGAGTGTTTTTTGGACTTTTTTTTTGTTTCTGTTTCAAAACATATGTTTTCATCTCTTTACAAAAAGCAATACGTTCTGAACCTTAGGAGAAATGTTTCATAGAACATATCTTGACGTGCCCACTGAAAAGTATACTTTCCTCCTCAACTATGAAGGAGATATTTTGTGATAAAAACATGTTTCTAAATTTCTAGAATACAGTACAAACCCAAGAAGACCTGTTAATTAATACACAGCATGATAGTACTGAATATGTTCCTACTTTAGAAAGATCTTTTCATGTTATTCAGAACTATCGCGCCGCTAAAACAACGGAAGTACAATATTGTCCATGTTGAATTTAGACAAATATTACAAGTACTGTGCATCAAGACCAATGATCAAGACTCGATTCACTTAGTCCTAGACTGACGTGATAGAGATATACATATAGGGGTATCTAGATATATACGTGCATTAAGTAAATTACTATTCGATAAATACAAAAAATGACTTGACATATACGAGTGATTCGTTTCAAAAAAGTAATTCGTAATATAAAACTTAATTTTTATATTTTGAAAGAAAAAAAAATCGATTTTGAATATGCTACACTTGACATAATAAGATTCAGTTTATATGTGCAATGTTATTGCTTGTTCAACAGAAATTTAGTCAAATTTTTCATTATTATAACTATATTCGTTTTTGTTCTTTAATACTATTCTCAAAACTTTATTTTTTTTTATCTCAAACGATAATGAAATATATTGATTAAACGAATTTTTTAAAATAATATATTATATGTCGAATTAATAAATTTCTATGAATGATATCCGATTATAAAGGACAGTATATTGGTTTTTAGAGGTTTTTTTACTCTAAGTTTGAATATTCTAAATAAGAAAAGAAAAACTTGAAATTGTAAACGTTCTGATTTTTCATCATTCATATTATTTTTTGTCTTGTTCATGTTTGAAATAAAACGTATGTTAACATATACAACAAATATCAAAATTATTCAATAAGGTTTATTTTCAATTTTTTCCGCTGTTGTAAGCGTTAGAAAGAATCGAAATAATGATTCGAATTGAGAAAATAGTCTCCAACAAGAATATAAGGAAATAAAAATTATTATTAGATTCTCAAAGACAGGCACCCCATAGAACAATAGAGTAAATCATCCTCTACAAAATGAGACATCGCCGATTTCTCTGTGACGTTTTTCCGGTTGAGATACAACAATTTGATTGAAGATCAAAAAAAATTGTTTTTCTATAAAAAATTGGAAAAAACCAACTTTAAGGGTTTCCATAAGGATGCTGTATCTCAGTTAAAAAAACGTTGTAAAGAACTTGGAGACACCTTATTTCGCAGAGAATTGTTTGCTCTATCATTCTATGCAATTCAAAGATTTTCTGGAATCCCTGTCTTTAGGAATTCGATAATAGTTTTTATTTACTTATATTTCTTTTAGAAATAATTTTCTGTATTTGAATCACTATTTCGATTCTTTTTCATAGTTACGACAGCAAAAAAGAATTGAAAATAAATCCTGTTGAATAATTTTTACATCCATCGTATATATTTATTAAGATAACATAAAAATCAATAGAATTATTTATAATTATTAGTTATATCTGCACTATTTCTATTGTAAAAAATGACTAATGTCACATTATTGAAATGATTTATTCTTAGTTAATCATGCTCTTATTATCAGGTTTACTCGCTAACTCTTAATAATTATTACATGATATCCTTATGTATACAGCATTGAATAATCGATCGAACTATTTAATATTTTTAATAAATATCGTTATCACTTCTAAAAGAATCTCATGTCGCAAAAATCACACTCGTCAATAATCGTGAATCATTGTATATTGATGTATTCCATGATTCAGCGTTAATATTGTATTTCTCCATATATGATACGGAGGAGTACCACCGTATGTGGTGGAATAAGACGTATATATAGATGTACTATTTTTTATCTTGAAGTTCTACTCCTCAATTAATTTGATTGAATTTAGTCAGTGCTATGAATATAAATATAAAAACAAAATTAATGATTTTTAGAAATTATTTTAAAAAAAAATCAATTTTCAGTAGGAATCTTTTAAAAACTATCTTTTTATTTCGTTTATTCGACGAGAGTATCATCGAATGTTTCGAGAACTTTATTTATTGAAAACATTTTATGATAGAAAAAAGAAATATTAAGTTTAAAATACAATCATCTTCATGATTTGACGGAAGTAATTAAAAAAAGAGATATGACAAATTGGTAATTGAGTGACGTTTTAGTAAAAATAAAAGATTATTGGATAAGGTGCATGCGATCATTTTATTTCCTTTCTTCCAACTAAATGAGTAATGTTAAATGAAAAAAAAGAGTCACCTGCCAATGATAAAATCCGCGAGGAGACATGCTCTCGTTATGTCATGCATAATGAATATTTTAAGTACTTCCTCCAACGATAAAAGAAAGTAAAATATTCATGACTTCATTAATTTTTCTCTTTCTCGAGTATGTATATACACCTGTACATATTTTTTTGGACATATTAGAATTTTATTAGATTTGTATTTGACTAATGACTATGAAAACAAAAAGTGTACTACTTCAAGAACCAGTTTTAACAAAAAGTGTACTACCTCAAGAACCAGTTTTAACAAAAATTGTACAACTGGATGAATTGCAAAAATCTACTGACGATACAACTCCTACGTTACATGAAGATAATTCTACATTAATTAAAAATCTTCGAACTATCGAAATCGTAAGAAAAATAGAAATTGTTTTTTTTAATTATGATTTTCATTGAATATTTTTTTCTCTAGTACAAATTTACCGATGCATTAGATATTTTTTTATTAATTATTGGTACAATAGGTTCATTTGCTAGTGGTGCATGTTTTCCATTGATATTATATGTTTATCAACAAGTAACTGATGCACTTGTTAATTATGGTAAATTACAATATATTCAACAAATGAATTTTCAAAATCGATCTCAATTATCATGTGAAAATGGAGGGTAAGATTTGAAATAAAATATTTCTTTTCTTTTTTTTTTTCTTGCATGTAAATAATTCTTTATAATTATTAAGATTTTCTATTCCTGATAATACAACAAGTCCTATACAAGCTATACAAAATGTTGTTAAATGGTATGTTCTATTGGGATTTTTGAGTATTTTATTTTATACTATTGGCTTTACGGCTTATATGGTATCAGCTGAACGACAAATACGTCGAATAAGGTTTGTTTATTTATTTTTTGTTTTGTTTAAAAAAAAAATAATCAATTGAAAAAATTTAGATTTCGTTTATTTCGTAATATTCTCTATCAAGATATGTCTTATTTTGATATACTTGGTGGTAAAGGTAAATTGACTAATATGCTTACGGATGATTTACTCAAAATTAAAGATGGTATGGGTGATAAAATGGCCGATTTTTTATCATTATTAGCTCGTATGATTGGTTGTATGGTTTTTTCACTTGTCAAAGGATGGAAATTAACTTTAGTTATTTTGGCTGTTGCTCCACTTGTTATTACTGCTTTTAATTTAACAATTAAATTTACTGTTAAATATACAAAAAAACAAATACATGCTTATGGTAAAGCAAATAATATTGTACAAGAAGTATTAATTGCAATACGTACTGTAACGGCATTTAATGGACAAAAAAAAGAATATGAAAGGTTTGTTAAAAATAAAATTCTTGTATTTGATGATTGATTTTGTTGTTGTTTTGTTTTAGATATGCAAATAGTTTATCTGACGTACCAATAATTGGAATAAAAAAAGGTATTGTTCAAGGTTTATGTCAAATATTTTCAAATATTGCTACTGGCATTGTATTTACTGCTGCACTTTGGTATGGACAATATTTAATTAAAACAGAATGTCAGACTTATTCAGCTGGTAAACTTGTTGTTGTAAGTAGAAAAAAAAATTTTATTGAAATAATTTTTATGTATTTTAGATATTTATTGCTTGTTTAAACACAACATGGTGTCTCAATCAAATAGTTCCTAGTTTAGAAAAATTTGCTGATGCTACAGCTTCTGGTTCATGGATTTTTGAAACAATAGCAAGAGTATGTTATAATAAATCGAATTTTTTATCAAAACAATTCTTTTATATTTATTTGAATTAGCAATCAAAAATTGATGCATCAAGAGTAGATGAAGGTGAAAAAAGAGCATCATTTAACGGAGAAATAAAACTTGAAAATGTTCGATTTACATATCCAGCTCGTCCAAAACAACCGGTTTGTCTATTTTATTTTTTGCTACAATAAAATAAATAAATATTATTCTAGATTCTTCAAAATATCAATCTCACAATTCCAAGTGGTAAAACAGTCGCTTTAGTTGGACATTCAGGATGTGGAAGTAAGCTTTTTAATTATATTCATATTTAATCTTATC